AATAAAGTAGAATAAATAGCCAAATAAATAAAATAAAACTAGACCTCATTATCTCATTCATTCAAATTAAGAGAGTTTTATAGTGGTCAAATTTAAAATACCAACTGTCAAACTATCTAAATACCTTTATTTATGTCGAAATGACAGCAGTGACAGACACTAAATGGTGTAGTCAATTAGGCTATAAAGATAATGCAACATGGGATTACTAATTACTAATCTATGCAGAGGAGCAACACATTTTTGTCCAAACTGATAAACTGGGGTGATAGCAGCATATGTCACACACAAGTGTTGAACCGCTGCATGAATTAGCACAAATATCATTATAACACTTGTCTACATTACTTAGTTTATTTTTTTTAAATCCACACAATTGTAAAATATAAAAAATATAGGACTACATGAAGTATCTGATGTAAAATGAATTTATTTAGGCATCTTTACAAAAGAATAGGACATCTCTTTGACATCACTGTGAACTTGCACATTCCTGCACAAAACTTTACAGTTCTTTCATTTTAAAATATACAGCACTTTTCATAATATCTTTTAATTCCATTGTTAATTTTTAATTTTGTGTTGATGTTCTTGCTTGTTATCTTTTCATTTCCCTCTCACTATTACTCTTCACAAAGACAGAATCCTTGTATGTAAAAACTTGGCAATAAATCTGATCTCTGAAGTCAAACAGCAGATATTTTACAAACTTCACAAATAAGCCCAAATTAAATGAGAAGAAATATGAAATGAAAGCTGTCATTGGGCTGTTCCACCATTTAGCTGATCAGTAAAGTGTTGCTAATGGAAACATATAAACGTAATCGTTTTATTTAGTCATTTGATATGGTTACGTGTAATGGTAGCAACCTCTAACACACATAATATATATATGCAATATAACATTTGTGAATGTCTTAACTATTGTTTATTTTTGTTTAATTTGTTGCACAGAATCGAGTGCGCGCACGTCACGTTCGGAGCCGTACGTGCGTTACGTTCTGCAGACACGCGCAATGATAGCCGGAAGCACCGATGGGAGGAAAATAAAAAAATCGATGAAATTCACTGTTATTCGCGAGTGTAAACCTTTCACGTACTGTCCTTTTGGCGACGTAGGCTCGAATCTGTTAGCCACTTCCACTGCCACTGAGCCGGAGGGGACGGCACAGAACAGGAGAGCTGCTGCTTTTGAACCAAGTTGCTCGGTAGGGGTTTAGCTGACGTGTGGAGAAGTTGAGACTGCCAGAGAGCAGATAAACAAACATAAACAAGCAGGGATCAGCTGAGCGCCAGTCCGAACCGAACCAGCAGCACGGAGAGATGCCAGAGAGGACGAGTCTCCTCTTCTGAGCCCGACAATGATCCACAGGAGACCGTGACTTACACTCATACTAGCTCCATGTCAACTGTCAACACTGGCACACAAAGAATTTCGGAAACACAACACGAGGAGCAGCCATAGGCTTTAGCAGGGAATCCACTGCTCCTGTCACTGTCTGCTTGTCAAGACATAGCCAGGCTAGCATGGACAACCAATGAGTTTACCGTGCAGTTTTCAGCTGTAACGAGACGAGTACATATTACAGTGCAAGGAGAGAGGTAAACACTTTTTCTTAACTTTGCTTTTTCCCCATAAAGGGCCTGCGAACTGAACCACTGACCTAAGCTAGCTTGGCAGGCCACATATCCTGTTTGTGTTTGAATTCTTCATGTGGCGGTCAGTTTACCAGCAGCACTGTTTATCTATTCAGGTTAGCTGTTTCTTTTGTCCCAGCGTGTTGTTCTAGAAAGACTAGTGTCAATACAAGCAGGGGGAACAGACTGAAGGTGTTTGCTGCAGAGTCAACAGTAAGCATGACATGTGAAATATCGAACTTTTAAAGTCCTGGCAGTATCATTAAGCCCATCATTTTTCTTTTCCACTCTACTTTAACCCCTTACCTTTCGCTGATCTGCAGCCACTGGTGTCAGAAGTGGGATTAACATGGCCCACCAGGCGACCCCTAGTTCCCAGAAGGCCCTGATGATGGAGCTGAAGTCTCTGCAGGAGCAGCCGGTGGAGGGCTTCCGCATCACTCTGGTGGAGGAGTCTGACCTCTACAACTGGGAAGTGGCCATCTTCGGACCCCCAAACACCCTGTACGAGGGGGGCTACTTCAAGGTGGGACACAACTCTTTATACCCAAAGTGCAGGGAGTTCTGAATTCACAATAGTACATAATGCAGTTTTCTTCTTAAGTAGGATACATAGGAAGGAGATTGCTGCAACTTGGAAAACTGTGATTGAACCCAGTGTGTCGGACCAAGTACAGTCTCGTTATAACGATGCAATGACCCTGCTCACCTCTACCTGCTCACGGAATTTTTCAGTTTTAATGTGTTTCGGGGCAGCCATTTATATTTCTCTAATTTGTAGTCTTTCTCCCCTGTCTCTCCGTTCTCCTTGTCCAGCCCTCTCCCCCCTCGCTGTATGATGGGTAGTGCTTCAGATGGCTATTTTTAGCTGTGAGACCGATATAAATGGCACCTCAGTACAGAGAAAGGAGTAAGAGAGAAGGGCATGATAAGCCTCATCTTCCTTTCTTTCATGTTACTTATTCAGTGAAACATCTAGAAAATGCGGGACGGTGAGAGCCTGCATTCAAGTTGGGGCAATGCAGATGTCGCTGTAGCCATCCAGGAATGCCAAAATAATACACAGCAGGCGTTGCTGTATTCTACTTTTGTAGCTGACCGTCGATGATTAAGTTATGGTTTGCCTTTACAGCGACATCCTTGTGTTATCTATTGTCAACTCATATCAATTTTATTTATATAGCCTTGAATCACAAGTTTGTTCCAGAGGGTTTTTACAACATATCATTTTACAATCTCTATCGTTAGACTCTGCAGTCAGATATGGGAAAAACTTCACACAAAAACATGGGGAAAAAATGGGACAGACCTCAGAGCAACAGAGGAGAGATCCTTCTTTCAAGATAGACAGATGTGCAATAGCTGCCAAAAGCTGGAGTTTCAAATTTAGCTAACCTGCATATCTTTAAAAGAGACATGTAACATAGAGCCTGCAGACACTTTCTAATGCAACCTTCTTGCTCTGAGGCAAATAGTACTATAATTTGGTGCAGGAGCAACTGACCTTTATTTAATGAAAGATTAGTGGAAGGAGATTGACCAGTGTAACTCTGTTGCTGCTGCTGAACCCTTCTTGGCTCCTGTGGCACAGCGGGTTAAAGAACATATCATGCATAGTCATGCATTTGGAACAGGGACAGGATGGTTTTGTATGTGTCTATACGTCAGTATGGTAACTGATAGAACATGGTATCTGTGTGTTTAATGTCCCAAGGCTGCACTCGTGTAGTGACTGGTTGTGTAGTAATGATAGTCCTATCTGAGTGGCAGCAGTTCAGTGAGAGCTGGGGTGGTGTGTCACACACCCAAACCTACGAGCCTTTCATCTAGATAATTGCATATTACTTTAGAAAGAAAACACCGAACCAGAACACACCCACTGTTATGTCATCTAATGTCTAGCTACATTAAAATACATTTAGAATTACTGATAACATAGATGGCAACTGCTCCATGGTGAGACTGTCTCATGGCTGAATTTGTGATATATTTTTCAACTTCAAATGAATGGGTACAGGAAGCTACTTTGTGGTTGGAGACGGGTTGTCAGTCATCTTGTGAAGCTAGACGAGAGACAAGAGACAGCTTATTTTATTTTTATATGCAAGATTACAGTTTGATTTGAATAGCAAACAAAATCCAACTCCAGTCTGGACATATCAAATGAATCCGTATCAAAGGCCTATCTTAAATCAGCTGTTCTTAACCTTTCTGGTTCCTGAATCATAAAATGAAGTGACCAGCAACTTGGAGACACCTGCAAAAACGTTTCAATTCAGTTTGTTAAAGGAAGTGTGAAGGGGGAATTTAATTTGCCTCACTACAGAAAGGAAGTCTTGCAAAGATTACAAACTTAAATGTATTTTGTTTATTTAGATATATAAAGTGTATTTTTTCCCATTCTGTATTTTCATGTGCTACACCGATCTCCAAAACATCAACTCACATCTCCCTGATGTCACTCCATCCTCAAGCTTAGACCCAAAGGCCCAAAGGACGTAACGGAAGTCAAGCTTGGCTGTCTGTAAAACGTGTTAACTGTCAACCTCTGTTTGTTCTCCCAGGCTCACATCAAGTTCCCAGTGGACTACCCGTACTCCCCGCCAACCTTCCGCTTCCTCACCAAGATGTGGCACCCCAACATCTACGAGGTAAAACATTTTGTGTTTGTTAATGTCTTCACACAACTTTTGTTGCCATTATCAGGCAAATTTAATTTCAGTTACCATTTATATAGTTAATCTTTATGTCTCTGTGACACATGTTATACACTGTATTTTGTTCTCTTTCCAGAACGGAGATGTGTGCATCTCCATCCTGCACCCTCCTGTTGATGACCCTCAGAGCGGCGAGCTACCCTCTGAAAGGTGGAACCCTACCCAGAACGTCAGGTAATGTCTGCCACTCAACCTCCACTTCTATATACACTTTAATCTACTCTAGCTTGGCTTTATTTATATATATTTATATATAACTTGTTATTTTAAATGCAATGTGGATATTTATTTAAATACTGGTTTACACTTACATCCCAATGTGTAAGATTTAGGAGGATCTATTGGCAGAAATGGAATATAATATTCATAGCTATGTTTTCATTAGTGTGTAATCACCTGAATACAGAT